TGCATGAGGTATCTGATAAGAGCAGCATCTCTGAGTAGATAGACTTCCATTGCGAGTACCCCCCTCTTTGATCTCTATCATGTACCCGGAGCTCACTTGTGGCTCCACAAAACTGAGACGTGCATCAGGGACCATACCCCGGTAAACCGTTGGATAAGCGGGATATGCCAGTTTAAGGATAACAAAGGTATGCAAACCCTGACGAGATGGTGTATTTATTATTATACTATATTTCATACTTGTCTGAGGACAGACTGTGTGCCAGGCAAATCACGGTACGATAATCTTTAGAAAAAAGTAAAAAACGTTCCATGATTGGTTTATGAGCTGAATACTGCCAGGTTTCCCAGGCCAAGGCAGGTGAATTTTCTTGAGGAATTCACAACCGGATCCTTTGGCTAGCCAGCGGGGCGGTGTGTGAAAACCGCAGTCCATTGTGAGCCCGTGTCTAGTTCGTCGGATCATTCGCCCTTCGGATGGAGTCAAACGCCCAAGGTGCCCAACACACCTCAATGCCCAATCGAGCCGGTGATCACTGCCACAACCAAAAAAGGGTGTGTGATTCGTACGCCTCCTCTTGGTTGGTTTGGAATAAGGGCTTTTAGCCAACTCCCTTAGGTGAACTACCAGTGGACCACCAACCGGGTTATAGCCCCGGATGTCGGCTTTACGTCCTCTCAGGTTGGTGGGAAAACACCGTCACGGTAAAACAGTCAGTAGGGCTTCCTCAGCAGAGGCTATTCGAGACGCTTCGTCGTATGGGAGCATTTCACGAGGTGCAAAGACAGGGTGATCAACCTAGCCACCCATCCTCGACCATACTAAGGCCTTTAGAGGCCTCGAGATGGCGTACGGAATGCAAAGACAGCTACTCATAAATGGGCGAACAAGATCTACTATCTGATCCACCGGCTACTGAGGAAACCTTTCCATTTTCTATTTTCTCTCTAAAGCATTTCATTTTTTTTCGGGAAGAGAGTCTTGGTTCTCATCTCTTCTATTTACCAGTTCTTAATTTGTGTTTCACCGTAGAAGTCTTGTCGCTTTTTCGCAATCTGTTTGTTCTGAAGATTGATGGGGTTCTTTCTCATGGCCGTATATAAACCAAATAGCATTTTGTCCACGACAGACATTTTCATCGAATCGCTTTCAATTGTTTTAAGCCCTACTAATGTCCTGGATAAATGTTTTGAACGAAAACAAACGGTTTGGCATTTAGATTGCCACATCATGTTTACTGTATTGTTTTGTTGCACTATTGCAACTAAAGTATGAACGAATTTCCCCTAACGCTCATACTCACTGAAGTGTGAATCGTGCGTTTGGTTTTCTTTGCATCCGGTTTCACTGAGCCTTCTGGGTCTACGAGTTCACTAACGATTTACTGAGTGCCGTACTATCTTCACGTATCTGTTCGCACTGAAATGAAGTTAGATTGTCTCGTTCTGTACAGTCTTAAGATTGATGAGCTATCTAATATGCGGCACTGATCTACTATTTCATCCCAAATAAAGATTGCGCAAAAAAGAACATGAATAGCATAGACTTACTGGTTGACTGGAGTATTTGGTGAAGTAGGCATTCCATCACGACGTGATGCACGTCGAACAGATGAGCGCCGATGCGGTGAAGCCGACTGTTCAGCCGTACGAGGTATACTGGGTGGGAGAGCCACGTGCCGTTCCGGTTTCACACCCCAAATGTCAGTGGCGTATTCGGCAATTGTTCGATCGGACGAAAACTTCCCACTGCTGACAGTGTTCAGTACACTCATCCGAGCCCAGCGCATCTGATCCTAGATCAGGTGTACAGTATCAGATAGTTTCATGTCGAAATCGATTTAGTTGTACAAAATGACGAGCACAGGAAATACTTATTTTCCGTGATTTTCTTGAAAGTATCACGATTTGGTAAGAAAATAAAGCGGAAACTGTGTGAGGTCAGCTGTCTTAAGAAAGACGGTTTAAAAATGAATCTTATACACTGTCTGGAAAGTCTCCTGTTTGAGAAAGCTGAGTGCAGATGGGACTGCATCTTGACTTGGTGTAATATCTGGTACACCTCTGTGACACAACGAGCTACACAGGATAGCTTTTATTGAATCAAAGAGCTAATCACGCCTAAAAGATTAATGGGTAGAGATCAAACAAGGCCCAGTCTCATGGTCCTCCAGATTGGGTGTTCGACTTGAGTTGGCGTCTCAGTCAGTAAAATGTGTTGGGGGACTAACTGGTACAAGCTAATGAGCCTCCAATCCGCCCTAACAGTTGCATTTTAACTTAAGTTCTTTCCAGAAATAAAGGTTTTGGTTGAGATACCTAATGGTTCTCGTGCTTAGTGGTTAGAATCCCTGGCAGTACCCATTTATAAAGCTCTAATGAAGACAAACTAAAAATATTTTCATACTGTATCGGTCGTCGTGCAGGATAATCAAGATCGCGCTGCTTATTGTACCGAGCTAGGTCGGTAGTGATAAATGGATCACTTCTCAGACATCCAAACCTTTTTTCAACTCTTGTCTCCCGTACCCAACCCTTTCCCTCTGTCCCTTCTTCTGCTTCTTAACATCCCATCAGCCAACTTGATCGTCACTCGCCAAAAGTCTTCGTCAAATAGCACTTTAAATAGTTTGCCTGTAAATAGAATGCAGGTTTTAAAGTCTCGTCAACCTCTTGATCTGAGGGCCTTCAACATAAGGACTCTGATGCAGGTGGGTCAAAAAGCCTGTCTTGCGAGTACAATGAATCCTTTAAAACTTGAATTCAGGATCCTAGTATTACAAACCACCTGAATGCGCCGGGTTTATCTTCAACATACTTCCCTCGCACATCAGGAGACGATAAAGCCTACTCAATGTTGTAGGAATCGTACTAAACAACAAAGCTGAAACCTCACTGGTAGATTGGATACCCGTCAATAGTCATGTGTGCGCAATGAGGCTCCAGGGTTCAGTTAGTGTTCGGAAGGGCAGCAACACCAAAAGGTGTTTGTTCGTCATTTCCGCACATGCACCAACCAACTGTAGTCCCATTTCGCAAAAAGACGATTTTTACGACAATCTCGCCAAAGTCAGTCGTTTGAGCTGCAGCTCTGATATTATAGTGCTGGAAGGTGATTTGAACGTGCAGGTTGGAAAACTGAGTGCATCCGAAGCTTGTCTAGGAGGACACTTCGCCCTCCCCGCCCAGCGAACAGACAACGGTGATCGGCTATTTCAGTTTTTCACAGATCATCGGTTGTTCTTATTTAGCACTAACTTTCGACACAGCTCTCGTCGGATGATACGATGGTATTCTAGTTCAAGAACTGTAATATACTGTTGGCGTGGTTCAGTACAAAATTACAGATCATATTGAACCACCTGCGTTGAGTCGGATCATGCACTAGTTCCGATGCACTTCGCGCTTCTACTCATCGGTCTTCGGCAGTAAACGCCTCCTCAGTTACCTCCTTATTGTCTGGGTGGTGACTCTTTCGTTGACTTGACTTGACTCTGCAACTGGCTGGTTGGCCACTGAAGGATATGGCAGAAAACTGACAGCTGTGACGTTCTTGTTGTTATTTACTATCAGGCTAGAATGCTTGAAAAGAAATGAGCTCACAGTTAGCTTTTTCACTCTGTGCTGACCGAAGAGGTTCACTCTCCTTTCCGCCCTCCAATTATGTCCAGTTCCTCTCCATCTTGTACTTTCTCACTTAATTTCTGCACATTGTTAGTTTGGCAGCGAGCAGCGCAGTTCGCTTCACCATTTCTCGCTGAACGATGATAATAACAGAACAAGATAGAACGCAATGTATTTTGAGGTATAGTACTCAGTAAGAAACCTGTCGTGAGTTTATCGACGATAGAAACGCCCGAAGAATGATAATCAAGCCCAATAAAGTGGAAACTGCTTAATTGTTCTCTGACTGGATTAATGAATACAGTCGATTTAGCACAAAATCGAGGGAACTGTACTACTTACTGAATGTTAGTCGTTTCTAATGTGCAAACGTTCCTCTCCCATAGACCCGCCGAATAGTCATCTCATATTTCGTTTTTTACATAGTGGGCAATGTTGTCCAAATAGCTAAACGGCGTGCGATCGTGCATTTGATTCAAACTTTCGAGGTAACTAGGGAATTGGTAAAAAACTGATAATCATCGTATAAATTTGTCCGGATCTTCCTTCGAACTTCATCTTACCTTCCAACCCTCAGTTAATTCTGTCAACTATACCCTCAGGAAGCATCACATTTAAATTTTGTTTTTGCTATGTTTCGCCACTAGGGTACATTTACCGGATAGTACGGAATTTGAACACCAAACTCACCGCATAGAAGATGTGTGCTTCAGTCAGCCCTCAGGCTTGAGGACAGGATACCTGTGTAAGCCCCATCACCACTGGGTCGAAGGACCGATCAAATGTGATCATTCCTCCATAGCCCCTTGAGGTGCTCATCCAGACGCCGCTTGAAAGCAGCATCGGTCGTCTCCTTTATTGCAGTCACTGGAAGGGAATTCTAGGGCGTTGTTGACCTCCAGAAGAGTTGGTAAACTAACGGAAGATCGATCGACTAAACTTTACGTAACATGAGAGAGTGCCCCTGCGTGATCTCCTCTGTCCATAGTTGGAAATTCTGCGGCAACTCTGGGACCATATCACCACTCAGGATCTTCCTCAGGCAAAGCAGATCCCCTGACGTGCCGATACGCAACTGGGAATAGACCAGTAGCCCGTAAACGACAATTGTAGCTGGTCCTCCGTAGTCCACCAACGAGTCTAGTGGCATCACGTTGTACACGCTATGACTGAGGCAGTTCACCAACCGTGCAGGGGTATGTTGCAGCACTACTATGCTCAAGTCTCGATCTGACGTGGGAAGTGTATAGCAGTCCAAGAGCGTCCGTCGAAAGCCGATCGAAAGATCTCCAAATGGGTCCCAGAATGCTCCACGTATTGGCGCAGATCTTATCGGTGTTCTCTCGGGTCTTCAGTGATGCCATCAGCGTAACTCCTCGGTCCCTCTCGCACGATGTTCTGCGTAATACGATTAATTGGAAGCTGTAAGCCACCTAATCAGCACACCTCAGGTGCAAGTGAGCACACTTGGCGATATTGATTGGAGGGGACCATGTGTCCGCCAATTGAACCAGGGAGTTCAGATCTTCTTGTAGAGTAATCCGATCCTCTGAACCCTCGACGGTAAGCCATATTTTGATATCATCCGCACAGATGAGTAATGGGCTGCGCAGTTGGCCGGCAAGTCATTGACATAAATCGCGAACAGCAGCGAACCAAGAACAGAGCCTTGGGGAACCCCAGTGGAGACGAGATACCACGTAGATTGCGACCTGAAACAACGGACGCCGAATTTCCTGTCCGTAAGAAAGTCTTGCAACCATTTCAACATGGACTCGCCTACACCAAGGCGAATTAACTTTCGCAGAAGGCGGTTGTGAGGCTTTTCTTAGAAGGCTATGCTGATGTCCACGAAGATAATTTCCGTTTCGTGTCCTTTGGCCTTATCCTCAATCCAGCATTCACTGACTGGGAGCAGGTTCGAGGGGCGTGAGCGACCCGGACGGAAACCATGTTATTCGCGGTATAGGTGACCCTAGCACACCAAATGTTGCTGAAGCCGTGCAGCCACCAGTCGTGCTACTGCTTTACCCACAACACTGGTAAGGCTGACTGGTCGGTAGTTTCCTGAGTCACTTTTATCTTTACTGCCGCAGTAAATACCCTTGTGCGAAAGACACATTGAAGATATTTCACAACGGCAATGCAAGTTCTTCTGCCAGTTCCGTCAAGATAAGCGGATGTACACTATCAGGTCCGGGAGACTGCTGAACCCTCAGCCGACGCAGCTCGAAGGCAACTTCCCCGATTGTAAATGGAGTCCAATTTCGGGGAGCGTCAGCGCTCAAGGGATGTTGCGGCGGATCGGGGTTTGGGGAATACACTAAGACATAATGCGATTTCAGCATCGTGACTTTGTCCCTATCGTTTTTAGCAACTACCCCGTCGTTGATGAAAGTCGGGAGGACGGAGTAGTTCTGATTCGGTGCCTGAGGTAAGTATACCACCGCTTTGGTGCCTGTACAGAATTTGCTGCAAGGTGTTGTTTGAATAGAATCTTCTTGCATTTCTTCGGTGCTGTACACTGGTTCCAAATGACTCGGCATTCCTCGTATACCGTGACTGTTCCGCGATACCCGGACAAAGCTTTGTTTCACTGCCGAAGGCACCAGCAACTTCCGACCAAATCACGGTGGGCCAGGGGAGGATGGTGGTGAGGCGTAGCGAATTCCTGTACGAGGTGATATATCCCGTGACGAAGCAACTTCCAGGATTGATCCACATCCTCCAGGTTATGGGAATCTCTTATCATGAGCGCTGCAGCATAACGCGTCTCAGGAAAGGTCGATCACTACACATTTCGTCCAAATTGTAGTCTGTGTGTGTGTGCGACACGCCACGCCTCCAGTGTTTTGGCAAAACGCTGTGGTGGGAGGCAGTCAATCTTGGTCGCATCTGATTGCTTTGGAGAGAACACCAAGTCAAGGATGGATCTCTGTTCACCAAACATCCGAGTGGGTTCACGGATATGCTGAACTAGTGAGAAAGCATGGACAACGGAATGAATCTGCCTCGAAAACAAATCCGCGTGCTGAGGGCGGGTGGCAGTTCCTCTTGTGGTACGTTGGAATTGTCTTGGGGAACCAAGACAAATCAATCACAGACGTTCCTCTGCACGCCAGCCAGCAGCTCTGAGACGTACACCGCTGGTGTTAAGTAGATCACTCCTACTGTGGTGTATCCTCCAGCGAAAAGCTTGATTCTGCACCATAGTGCTTCTCCAAATCCTTCCGGATAAGCGTAGATATCCAACAATCGAAAAAAGGTGACCGGACGGACGAAAATCACAACTCCGCCACCGTGACGTGACGATGATGGATTCGTTCAAAACACTGTATAACCGTTGAGTGATATTTCGGAATCCCTGACATCCGGTGTCAGTCAGGTCTTAGTAATGGCAATAAGATCGAGATTCTCTGATATAACCCAGTCTTACAGTTAATTTGTTTGCCTAGTAGCCCTGGGACTTCAGCCATGGCTAGCACAGCATTGTTACCACACCATCCATGCTTCAAACTGATTCCCTATTCAACGGTCAGACAGTCATCTGTGCCTTCCCCCCCCCCCTCGGTCTAAGGTAGTCTACCCGGCTGAGGGCGCTTACGATGCACCCAAAAGTCCCGTATGGAATGATCGGTCTCACCTTGCGCACGGCGCTCTCTGAGTTCCTACAATGTAGTTTTGACTTTACTGCGCTGTTCCAGATCAAGATCCCGAAGGAGTTCCGGAGTTCCGTTCAGCTTGTAGGTTTGTTGAAGTATCTCCTTGACTTCGTCCTCTACCCGAAGAACCACTTTCACTGGTCACGGATAGTTATTCTGGCGAATTTTTCCAAGCCTCAAAACTGCTCTGACCTACATTGATGCTGCGGTTTCTACCTCATTACCTGCTAAAGGGGTCACAATATGTGACCGCAGCGGCTTCAGGTAGTGGTCCAATCGGACATGAGTCGTGGTTGTCTCAGTCTCGGAAGACTGACGCATCTTGATCTCAAAGAAGACTTCTTCTGTTGCGCAGACTGTCGGGAAACGCGCGGGGGGGGGGG